GAGACTTGGGGAGGATGGTGACAGCGTTTGGAGTTGAGAGCCTCCCCCTTCCCTCAGTGGCCATGGTCCCCCCTCAGACACAGGAGGCTCCCAGCGAGCTGGGAACATCTGGGGGAGTGTGTGCTGTGCCAGAGCTGCTGGCAGAGCCTATTGGTCCAGCTGATGCCTGAGGCTGCTTGGGGTGGGGAACTACATGTGAGGGGACTGGGAGAAAGCCACAGAGCCTGCTACCTGCCTCTAGTTCAGTACCCACCAGGCATAGCTGTTCCCAGAACCCATGTGAGGCTCCAAGAGAGGAGAGGCCAGGGTGAGCGGGGTCGGGGAACAGCAGCATTGAGGCTGCCTTAGCCTTGCTCAGCAGGGACGTGCCTGTGTGTGTGCGCATGAGTAGAAGTCTACGTGGAATCTGCCTGGGTCTGTGAGCTTGGACGTGGCTTCGGTGTTTTTGTATGTGCTGAGGCCTGTGGCCTGTGGCCTGTTAGTGTCTATGTATGTGTATATCTATGATACTTCAAGTGGGTAAGTATGGGTATGAGTTACTCTAGGGAAAGCATGCCCCAGCCTCAGTGGTCTTTGGGGATAAGAGTCCTCCTAGATGACTTGCAGGAACCACGGTTCAATGACCTTCCGAAACTCCCGTTAGCCAAGAAAGGGACAGGCTGGGCACAGGGACATCTGGGTCCCTCAATCTGCCCAAGGCCCATCTGCTGTCCCCAGGGCTGGTCTCATGGGAGCCAGTGGGTCCCAGGCCCAGGTGCTCCCCAGCTTGGCCCAGGACTGGTTTTGACTTGGGGGACTGAGTGGAGGTGGGAGGACAGGGCAGGGTGAGGCACCCTGATGCTGGGGAAGTGTCTGCCCTGCTTTGGGCATTTTTAAAGTATTAAAGATGAGAGGCAGAAACAACTCCTATCCCTAGAGAGAAACATCTTTTTTTAAAAAAAGCAGATTGGGTTTGCATGCACGTAACAAATGGACACAAGACACTGGGGGGTAGGGGAGGCCAGGGGAAGGTCAAGGGGGAGAAAAAAGGAGACCTATGTAATACTCTTTGTAATACTTTAAGCAATAAAACAAAAAAAAATTTCTTTTTTTTTAAAAAGCAGATTGGCTTATTCCTCATACGTCTCTGCCATTCAAGGGAGCCCTAGAGAGTGAACTCACCTCCTCCCAACCTTAGCTTTCTGGCTGGGCTGTTTCCCTCCTTGGCACGTGGCCCAAATACAGGACCAGCACGGAGGCACCAAACACTCTGCCCAGAGAGGGCCCAATACCCCACAGTCCCACCTGTCCAGTGCCCTGTTCGCAGGTAGTCAATGCAGGTATCAGAAATAACTGGGCCGAAACCGGTTTCGCTCAGTGGATAGAGCGTCGGCCTGCGGACTGAAGGGTCCCAGGTTCGATTCCGGTCAAGGGCATGTACCTGGGGTGCGGGCACACCCCCAGTGGGAGATGTGCAAGAGGCAGCTGATCGGTGTTTCTCTCATCGATGTTTCTAACTCTCTCTCTCTCCCTTCCTCTCTGTAAAAAATCAATAAAATATATATTAAAAAAAGAAATAATTGGGGCCTGTAGACCAATCCTCCTTCCCAATCTTCCCCATTCACCCCCACAACCAGCTCCATTCATTCCCTTCCTTCCTTTTACTTACTGAGGCTTTTTTTGTCCAGCCCATGCCCAAAGATAATCTGAAGTACATTTCTCTCCCTACATCTGAAAATAATGATTTATTGAATCTTACTGTGTGCCAGGCTAGTGTACAGTAACTCATTACCATCTTAGAGATTTCTACAGAGCCCTTCACTTCATCCTAGTTTAACTGAGAAATGGGCCAGTCCAGCTATTTTCAACCTGTGTGCACAATAATTTTAAAAATATGCAATACCTGATATTTAGTCAGGGGCACTCACCTCTTTTTCTTAGATTGTCAAATTTAAAAAAAGACAATAGCCACCTGATGTAAATGAATGAAAATTACACATATTTTTTGGTCAGATTAGCAGAAATATTTTTGGTGTGCTGCAGAATTTTAGTAATTAGTTTATGTGTGCCATGAGATGAAAGGGGTTGAAAATCACTGGGTTAGTCAATGGGTCTCTTGGTCAAGTGGCAGAGCCAGGGATTTTAGCCGTGCCTCCTGCCTTCTGGACCACTGCTCTACATTGCCCCTCACAGCCAGGCCAAGGACTTCAGGGAAAATAATTCCCTCCCTTTTCATGTTGGCTGGAAGGTTATCTTCACGGTTGGCATCTGACAAATCTATGAACTGCTGCCTTGGTGCTTCCCTGGGGCGGGAAGGATGGGGGGGTGGGGGGCGCCTTCCTATCCCCTAAGTCCCCAAAGATATTTCTAAGGGCTGTTAAGACCAAGACCTTGTGGGTGGGGTAGGGACTGCTGGGAATTACCCCAGCTTTTGGTGTTCCTGGAGGGCTGAGTATGAGATACCCTAGAGCCATGGTCGGCAAACTGCAGCTTGCGAGCCACATGCAGCTCTTTGGCCCCTTGAGTGTGGCTCTTGCACAAAATACCGACTTCTGCACATGGGCCATGAAGTTTCAATCACACTGTACGTGCGCGCCCACACGTGGTATTTTGTGGAAGAGCCACACTCAAGGGGCCAAAGA